TATTTTCAGACATATTAAGGTTCTTGTGACAATCCCGGTTTCATAACTCACATGATTAAATGAACAGGCGCAGAAAAAGTACTGTAAATATCAATGACAGCAAATTTTAAACACATTTACTTTTATTTTCATTATGGATGGAACTGCACTAACAGAATCTTGAAAATCATCTGTCAAAGGCAATGATATAACCGTTCGAAACATAAATTTCATAGTAGGTATGTAAATGTAAGCAACACAAATTCGATCCGCACCGACAGCACTCATAGTTTAATTGCAGTTTGAAGTTTCAATTTACTACTTTCTCGTGGTGAAGGAAAACATGGCGAGAAAAAGTGCTAACTGAGAAGTAAAAAAATATTTGAGAAAAATTTTTTTGGTATATGTGAAGTCGTTCGTCTTGCGTTGGAGTCAGCTCCCTCTGATACATCTTACTCTGGCCTATACCCAGGAGTAGGATCTATCAAGGCTGCTACTTTTTTACTTTATTGCTGTCCACTGCTGATCATTAACCCATTGTTTGTCAAATAGGCCGAATATTTGCAGCAGTTGCCGTAGTTTTTATTACTTTGCTCTATTAGCAGGTAGATGCTGCCTCCATCCCCAAGGGAGTATAATTGTTTTCCAATTTGACGGTGTCATCCTACATCCGCCAGTGGGTGTTACAACAATATCTTTTTCTAAAAAGAAATCCCGTAGAGAGTTTGTCACGTATTTATTTCCTCTATGTGTTTTTGGGTTAGCATTGAGCCAAAAACTTATGAGCCCAATATTTTTGAATTTGAATGGTCCAGTTAAATACGATAATTACAAACTCAAGCATATGAAAGTACTGTCCTATTGGATGCCCATTCATCGAATCAAATTGCAAACTACTTATTGTTGACCAAATTCTTGTGTATTTCTTTCTTTAGTCCTCCCTTTCTCTGACCATATTGTTAGTACACCATTTTCCATACCGTTTGAGGTGATGTCGGTATCGAATAATATGCTTTGTTGTTGTCACAAGGCTGAGAGTTTTAAAGTTTGTTAGTGTTAGTAATGGGATGCCATGTAAAGAAATCATTCGACTTATAAAAGAGGATATTTTTACGTTTTGTTTGTGCTGTCTTCAACTCAAATCTGTATCTTATCTGTGTATGTGGGAAACATAAAGAACTACGATAGTTTCGGGCTCGTCATAAGTTTTTTATAGCACGCAAGCTACAGTGGTAGCCATTTATTAGTCTTTAGTTTTCCTGTATAATTTTAATGAATATGTTTTATTTTTGATTTATTATATATCATTAATGTTGCCTATATCTATAATAGGTATGTATATACACGACAATAATTTTTATAAGACTTGCTTATATACTTACACATGTGTATGTTAATGTACCTTGTAAATAAATAAATAAGCTTCAAGAGTTCCATCAATCTGTAAAATAAAATATTCGCAAGACATACCTAATATAAATTCCTCACAGAAGTGAGTGAGAAGCCTGTGCCCAATAGTTGGACGGGAAAATATAAAGTTCATGTTTTATATTTTAGTTAAAACATATTAGCGGTCAGACTGTTATTTATTCTGTGGTTTAGGTAAGCAAGTGTACTCATGGCTTATCGTTTGGCTGCAGGCTACAGTTTCGATTCCCGCACAGAGCTATAGTGATTTTTTAGTATTTATCTAAAAACCTTAGTAGCTTAAGGACGCGTTTGCAAATCAACCAAAATTAGGGTGTTTTTCGGTAGATTTTGTGACAAAACTAAACCAAATCAAATATAAGTAAAAACTACCATGTATAGATTGGTTCTTCATCTGCAAATGTCTGTAACTCTTTTGTTGAAAATAGTAGTTTTTTATATTGTAAAAACGAACTTTCGTTGCCATTTTCTACAAAATTAACGATACCGGCTTGTGTTTCGGTAGATGTTTTGGTCTATTATCAACATATTTAAAAATTTAAAAAATACTATAAGATGACAGACATATTCAATTAAAAAACCCTGGGTTTATTTTTTAACAAAATGTCACAAATAGTCGTAAAAAAAATAAAAACTGATGCACATTTTTTCACATATTGGTAATATGGATGAATCATAATGTATTGCAATAAGGGCTATTTTATTGTTGGTGCCTGCTTTGATTTATTGTACAAAGATTTCGATGAAACCACAGTCCGCGCTCGGCCGCCGTCGTGAGTGGACACTGTATCGCCTGTTTGCAGCGGCTCATTCTGAAAAGATCGCTGTACATACACAAAATATTAGAAAAAAACAAATTGGAAACATAAGTACTTGACAAGTGATAAAATTATTATTTTTATGCTCACAGTTTTTATTTAGCTACTGCAACTCGTGGACGAGCGGAACTAGGTGTGCCGAGTTTGGGCTCGTTTTGTTGGTTATGATGAGACCTTACCTCTGGACTTGATGGCATGACCTGAAGGTGTACTTTGGTGAGCGCTATTTGAACTTCTTGCAGAGTAAAACTAGGGGTGACGAATTTGAGCTCCGTTTTGTTAGTTATGACGAGTCTATACCTCTCGACTTGATGGAGTGACCTGAAGGTCTAAATCGGTGATTGCAACTGGAACTCCTAGACTGGTAGAACTAGGTGTGCCGAGTTTGGGTTCGTTTTGTTAGTTACGATGAGACCTTACCACCGGACTTGATAGAGTGACCTGAAGGGGTAATTCAGTAACTACTGCTGGAATTTCTGAACGAGTAGAACTAGGTGTGCCGAATTTGTGCTTCGTTTTGTTAGTTATGACGAGTCCATACCTCCGGACTTGATGGAGTGACCTGAAGGTGTAGTTCAGTGATTACAAGTGGAACTCCTAGACTTGTAGAACTAGGTGTGCCGAGTTTGGGTTCGTTTTGTTAGTTACGATGAGACCTTACCACCGGACTTGATTGAGTGACCTGAAGGTGTAATCAGGTGGTTACAAATGGAATTCCTAGACTAGTAGAACTAGGTGTGACGAGTTTGGGTTCGTTTTGTTAGTTACGATGAGACCTTACCACCGGACTTGATAGAGTGACCTGAAGGGGTAATTCAGTAACTACTGCTGGAATTTCTGAACGAGTAGAACTAGGTGTGCCGAATTTGGGCTTCGTTTTGTTAGTTATGACGAGTCCATACCTCCGGACTTGATGGAGTGACCTGAAGGTGTAGTTCAGTGATTACAAGTGGAACTCCTAGACTTGTAGAACTAGGTGTGCCGAGTTTGGGTTCGTTTTGTTAGTTACGATGAGACCTTACCACCGGACTTGATTGAGTGACCTGAAGGTGTAATCAGGTGGTTACAAATGGAATTCCTAGACTAGTAGAACTAGGTGTGACGAGTTTGGTTTCGTTTTGTTAGTTACGATAAGACCTTACCACCGGACTTGATGGAGTGAAATTCGGCACACCTAGTTCTACTGGTTCAGAAATTCCAGCAGTAGTTACTGAATTACCCCTTCAGGTCACTCCATCAAGTCTGGTGGTAAGGTCTCATCATAACTAACAAAACGAACCCAAACTCGGCACACCTAGTCCTACAAGTCTAGTAGTTCCACTTGTAATCACCGAACTATACCTTCAGGTCACTCCATCATGTCCGGTGGTAAGGTCTCATCATAACCTACAAAACGAACCCAAACTCGGCACACCTAGTTCCACCAGTCTAGGAGTTCCAGTTGCAATCACCGATTTACACCTTCAGGTCACTCCATCAAGTCCGGAGGTATGGACTCGTCATAACTAACAAAACGGAGCCCAAATTCGGCACATCTAGTTCTACTCGTTCAGAAATTCCAGCAGTAGTTACTGAATTACCCCTTCAGGTCACTCCATCAAGTCTGGTGGTAAGGTCTCATCATAACTAACAAAACGAACCCAAACTCGGCACACCTAGTTCTACTAGTCTAGGAGTTCCACTTGTAATCACCGAATTACACCTTCAGGTCACTCCATCAAGTCCGGTGGTAAGGTCTCATCATAACCAACAAAACGTACCCAAACTCGGCACACCTAGTTCCACTAGTCTAGGAGTTCCTATTGTTGTAATCACCAAATTACACCTTCAGGTCACTCCATCAAGTCCGCAGGTAGGTAAGGTCTTATTATAACTGACAAAACCAGTTCAAAGTCCAGAGCTAACATCTCACTACCAGTAGAGGGCTTCCAGTGCCAAGCAGTCTTTGGAGCAGGTATTCATATTTCGTATCGAAGTATATTTCTGAGGTAGGTATAAGAAATGAAAAACAAATTCAATCTTTCAAATTATCAAAATAATTTCATTTGACTACGATTCCCACAGCCAACCGTGCGTACACTAGTGTGTGTGTGACTTTTGTCAATGTAGTAGTGCGATTCTATACCTATCCATTTTGTAAACGCGTCCTTAAGGATTGTTGTGAAAAGCATGCCAACAAACGTTGCACGCTCCGGTGACACCAATGAATTTGTTAATTGCAATTATTAGTGTTATTTTTCTTCAAATTTTGCGGATGAAATGTTTTAGATATTAATAGAAAAATATTTCAAGGACATGTGATCTCAGCACGCGATTGGGTAACGCGGCTGATTACTCCATGCCCCAAAATCATTTGTCTACAAATAAAGGAGCAATCCTTTTTATTAATAAAATAAATCAAGTCACCAAACTATTTACCTTTATTAACTTGCCATTTTATTTTCTTCCCCAGAATGCAAACAAGTAATTTAGTACAACAAGGTAACACGCTACAAGTCACTTGCAGACTAGGATTAAGAATCTTTGAGGAGAGCTCTAACTTTTCGATTAGCGGGTGCGCTACCTTTCAAGTGAGAGCAATGAATATAGAAGACGACTTTATTCTAATCCTTGTTAGGTTTTTAAAAAAAATGCCAAGAAGACGACTCGACCTACTCCATTACTTTATCAAGCAATGCACTAGCCATTGTAGAAAAAAAAATTCTGTGTGACAACGGTACTTGGCATTTAATTAGTGAGGATAAGTATGTAACTGTTTTCGACATCTCGGTCGTCATGGATACAGTAGAACAACATGTTGTCACCTCATTCGAAACGCTTTACGATGATACTGAACTAACTGACTTTGAGCTCCGCGCAGAGGATGGATCTGTGAAAGTACATAAAGAAGTCCTTGCAGCTTCTAGCCCCGTATTGAGGCGGATGCTCAGCGGCAGCTGGCGAGAGACTACAGAAGGTCACGTCGACGTCCCAGGTACTTCGGTACAGACATTACAGCATTTTATAGATTACATATATACAGACACGCTGCCCCATACTGGTTTGGAGCAGATCCTGCTTCTTGGCTCGTATTACATGATACCAGATTTAGAGCAGAGATGTGTGAATACATTGATAAAAAGCTTGTCAGCGCAGAACGCGTGCGATTTGCTGGAGTTCGCAGTGAAACACAAAGTGACCGGGCTTGTTCTGGCCATTCTTGACTGCGTCCAAAGTCGGAGGGTGCAAGTTACGGATATGCGTCAACACTTTTTGAATTATCAAAATAATAATTGTGAAAAATAATTATAATCCACATCATTTGCGTAGCGTATATTATGGTGTAGACCAAAATACAGTAGTTAATCAATATTTTGAATTCAATAATCATTCGGTTCTCGATAATTGTTTTTGGTAATTGAATCATTCAAATCGCGTGTAAAACGGTAAACAGTATATTTTAAGACCAGACAGGTCACGGGAATACTGCCCACTTGAACGAATTAACCACCGGTTAATGTTAACACCGTTACCGTTAACCGGTGGTTAATTCGTTCAAGACTGCCCAATTTATTCAAAATTTGTACAGGATGGAACATCCTATAGTGTATGTAATAATTATCAAACAGTTCACACCTACATAACTGATGTTACTCCAACAGCGCAGTGCCTATTTGATCTGTCAGTTCCAGTATAAACACATTTATAATTTTTTGTTTAATAATTTAGTCAATGATTACTACTACTACTACTAATTTGATGGGTTTGATTGCATTTAGAATTAAATTTACTTAAAAGTCGATGACATTAGTTTTATATACTTGTGACACAAGACATTGGGGACATCTTAGTAGTCCCGAGTGGCGCTCGAAACCTCGGGTTCAAATTAAGGAGATAAAATTCGTAAGAAGGAGGTTCTCAATTAGAGTGTATGATTTTTGTATGTACCTATGTAACGCGATATTTTCGCAGGCTGTGGACCAATTTTTATTATTTTCTTTATTAAATAGGTTATACTTTAAGGGACCCCATACCCATATAAATTTGGAGAAAAAATTCCACCCCTAGAGTCAGCAACTATTTAACTTCTTTTTTAGTAATTTAAAATCTGTTTTCACCTTTTGTTAAGAGTTATACTCGTATTATTAGGAAAAAATATTCTTAATATTACGTATTAATTTAGAATTTGTAATTTTATTTCACAATAAACATAAACCTTTAATAGTGTTTCATTTTCGTATAACTTGTTTTATGTTATGAACTGGATACCCTTTTAGTATTTACAAGACATATAACATCTTTGTACTCATGAGTGTCGACACATGGTTCTTAAGATATGCGATTCGCGTCGAAAACTTCATGTTTTAGGGTTTTTTTCAAGGGCGATATCCTAACGACGTGAGCAGATTAGGTTTTTGCAAAAAATTACGGCTTTAGAAATATGAAATATGAAAATATTTAGTGCACTATAACGCAAAATTATGGATTGTAATGACGGATTTTTAGAGCGAAGACAATCGCTTCATTGCGTTTTACCAAAGTATGCGTCAGAGTTATCTTTTCGTTCGCATACTATATTATAGGCCAAAATACTTAAATTTATGCGTTAATATAGTGGGTTATATAGTACTTTAGTGCAACACAAAACCTAAATAACGAGAATATTTCGATTAAACATTAAAAAACAATACTACAAAATCATCAAAACTGCCCACTTCAATGTCATTTTTTCCGTGTATTTGGATATAAAATGTTAAAAATACATAAAAAAGTTTACTCGTTTTATTTAGTCAATTATTTTATATGATTATTTTAAAAATTAGTACTATAAATCATCACGCGCAGACACCGTCCGATTCAGTCTTAGACCGTTCAATTCCCTATATAATATTGTAGTCTTTGGTTCAAGGTTCAACCCAATGGACCAGTAAACTAGACGTGGGCGATGCAAACCGTATACTGATACGAAATCTATATATTGGTACAATATCTAAAAACCGCTTACTGGTTCGTTCCAAAACTATGTATTTCTCTCTATGTAATCTGATATTTGCGTACCGTCGCGATGCCTATTTCGCTTCGAATCGGTCGGTCGCTAGATTCGTTCTATAACTATATAGGTACTTACTACGCGTTCATTTCGAGTTTGCCGTCGTAGACCGTTACGACGTCACAGCTGACGGTACCGTAGACGAAAAAAGTCATCATGTTTATGTTTTTTAGTATTCATATTTTCAATAAAGTTAAATAATAGCGTGTTCGATGAAATAAAATATTTTTTGAATGATGATGATGATGAAATAATAACGTGTCGATAAAATAAAATATTTTTTTATAGTTTTATTTTACATTTTAAATATCAAATTAATAAGTCATCACTCCATTCTGTGTCACTGTCATCAGTCTCTCCGCCCACCGAAATAATCAATTCTCTTTCGTTGAGTTCTTGCAACCTATCGCTTTCCCAATATTGTTGCCGTAAACGGTCAACGTGGTTTACCTCTTTTTTCCAGTCCTCTACAGAGATACTATTAATAGCTTCGAGAGTGAGTTTTTGTATTTCTTTTTCAGACTGGCTTACATTTTTATCGGCTACTTTTTGCTTCACTAGATTCCCTACGTACTCGATGGGATTCAAATCACATTGGTACGGTGGTAGGCGTAAGACTTCGTGTCCATGACTTTGGACAATTTCGTCAATTTCATATTTTTTGGTAGGCTTCGAACGACATACTACATAGTATAATTCTCGCTTCGTCATCTTTGAGTCAAAGGATATACCATTTTCTTGCAACCATTTTTGCATAACTTCTTTGCGTGCCACTGAAGTCGGTGGTTTATCAATCTGGCGGCTGTGATACGGTGCATTGTCAAGTACAAGAATGCTATTGGGAGGTAAGTTGGGTCGGAGTTTTTCCTGTATATACTTTTTGAAATTATTTGCGTCCATTTCATTATGGTAGTCCCCTGCAGTGCTTTTGCATTTATAAAGGAGTTTGGCACCTTTGACAAAACCATTCTCGCTGCCAGCATGGACCACAATCCAACGTTGTCCGGGATTGAAATACTTTTTTAAACTTGCATCAGTTGCATTTTGCCAGCATTTTGAAACGGTATAGTGGCTGTGTATCCACGTTTCATCCAAATATATGACTGGTTTTTTATAGACTCCCTGTTCATCATTTTCACGTAATCTCCGCAAGTAACGTGCTCTCCATGCTGCTATCTCCAGTTTCTGAATAAGATATTGTCTTATATTTTTACATTTTGTAAACATATCCAAGATTCGTTTTTATAATTTTCCAGAGAGTGACTTTTTGCCCAGGAAAATTGAAGTCTTTCTTTGCTTCTGCTAATATCTTGCGCAGCGTAGGAACTTCCTTTTTAACTGTGTAGAAACGGTCAATTATGTTTCGAATCGAACACACCATGAAATCATCTATTTCCAACCTCTGTGGCTATTTTCTTTTTTCTCGGTGACGTCAATTTTATTTCTTGTGTACTTGAAGTACTGGGCTCAGGTGAGCTCGTTTTAATTTTTTTTGCTTCAGTCTTTATATTTCTTAAAGTACGTTCAGATATACCAGTGGCGGCCGCAGTTCTCTTGATAACGTTATCGAATGATTTTAATAGCGCCTGGTACTTCTTTTCATTTTCCAACAAATTAATTTCTATTTCCGACGGTGCATCGGGCACGTTTTCATTTTTTTATCTGGCAATACTTTTCATAGCTACGACATCGTGAACATCATAAGGCGTTATCAACTGCTTTTCAACCTTTTCTTGTTCAAAGAATGTAATTATCTTATATAATAAATTGCGTTCGCCACTGTGCAAGACCTTTCCTCTTTTACTCTTTGTAACAGAACAAATTAACGAATATCAACAGAAACAAAAACAAAAAATCAACAGTAACAAAAACAACAGCAAAAACAGTAACAAACTAGAGAACGTACGGAAGCATAAAAAACGGACGTAAGTACACTTCGACGTTGCTATCGGTACTAAAAAGGCGACGCTTGAGGCGCGGAATGAGGTGGCGCGGCGGGAGGTAACGGCATTCTTGAAGTGAACGACTAGTATTATACAAAATCTGATATACCGCCGTGTACCTATATCGCTTCGGGTCGGTCGGTCGCTAGATTCGTTCCATAACTATATATTGTACAAAATCTGATACCGCCGCACTCCGCAGCTTACCAACATGGAAGCCACGGTATGCAGGCTAGCTATGACTGGACATCAGTCCATCCTCATAGCCTCCTGTTACATCCCTTCAGGAACCCATCCCCTTCAAAAAAGATTTTGAGGCCATTTTTTCTTTAGGCAATTCAGTCATTATGTTGGGAGATTTTAACTCCAAGCATACTGAATGGACATGCCGTACTACGTCCCCTAGTGGCAAGATACTGCTCGATATCACGCAGTTTCTTGATATTACCGTCCATAGTCCCCTCGGTGTTACTCACTTTCCCGATAACACCGATCACGCCCCCGATGTACTAGACTTTGCGTTACTCCAAGGAGTTTCTCTCAACCTCAGAGCAATCGAGACACTAGACGATCTAGGATCCGATCACCGACCGGTCTCCCTCATTCTTGGCCATCAGCCACCTCCCCCAACACACACGAAAACTTACACCAGGAAAGGATTCAAGGAGTCCCTAGCTAAAGCTCTGGACTCACAGGACTCTACCATCTCCCTACCGTCGGACTTAAACAGTCCCGAAAAAACGACACCGCGGTCGATTCACTCTCCACCCTTATTAAATCCTCCCTTAAGGAGAACGAAAGGCTCGTCCCGGTTGCTAACAATAGTGGGCTTCCCCTACATATTTGTAACCTATTAAAAGCCAAAAAAGCTGCTTTCCGGAGAGCAGCAAAATATCCCACCCCCGAATATAGGCTCGCGGCCAATCGTCTGCAACGAGAACTTCGTTTCCGCCTCTCCGAATTTCGAGACCTCGAAAAGAGTAAACTCATGGAGAATATCTCTCCATCTCATACAGCGTACTATCAGATGGCCAGAGCCCTCCGCATAGACGCTATCACCCACACTCCCCCTCTCTCCCGTCCCGACGGCACGGTTGCCTTCGAGGACGAGGAAAAGGCAGAGTGCTTTGCAGATAGCATTGCCGCACAATGCTCTCCTAGCTTTCAACCCGTCGACCCCTCACACGTCCAGGCAGTGGAGGATGAGGTTCACCGCCGGAACTCACCCCCTACGGCCTCCGAACCTATCTCTGTGTCCAATGATGAGATTTCATCCCTCATCAAAGGACTTAAGCCTAAAACGGCTCCGGGCG